CTTCAGGGGTGCACGACCAAGCTCAGCTAATTTTTGTACATACGGGGTTTTGCCAGGGCTGGTCTTGAACACCTGACCTCAAGTGATCCGCCCACATCCGCCTTCCAAAGTGCTGGGATTACAGGTGTGACCCACTGTGCCTGGCTGATTCTCATAATTTTTTATACAAATGTTAATTTCATATTCCTTTTTCATTAGGGAAAAAAAAAAACCCCACTCTATAAACACAAATCAGGAGGAAAACTCAAGAGACAAAGGGTTAATATTTTTACAATAAAGCTCCAATAAAAGAAAAACCTCTCAGCACCCTAAGACACGGTAAGAAAAGAAAAAGATACACCTCACTGCTTATCAAAGAAATGCTAGATAATGCACCAAGGCCCTATCATCAAGCTAAAAAATATTATAAAAATTAATGAGTTTTGGGGAGGAGGACATAGCCTTACCACAGTAATACAAACCACTAACAAACACTTTCTGAGCAGCTACAATGGATTATTCTAAGTGCTTTTTATGTATTAACTCATTCAACCTTCCTAAAGGTCCTATGAGTACTATTTTTAATCCCACACTGAAGAAAAAGTACACAGTAATTTGATCAAAGTCACAAAGTAAATAAATAGCAGAACCAGGAAGTATAAAGTAACACAGCCCTTTCAAAGGCAATTTGGCAACAGTCATCAACAACCTTAAAATGTGCTGCTACTCAACTTTGAAATCTCAGTGCTAAGAATCCACTTTAAAGAAACAGATTTGGACACAATCTTGATGCCCAATGACAGATTTACTACTCTGAACTGAACACATGTGTTTCTCTCCACTTCTTCCCCAAATACCACTAAAATGAAAGTTACAGGAGGAAAAAGATATAACACGGCCAGGAGTAGTGGCTCATGCCTGTAATTCCAACAATTTGGGAGGCTGAGGCAGGCGGATCACCAGAGGTCAAGAGTTTGAGACCAGCCTGGCCAACACTGTGAAACCCTGTCTTTACTAAAAATACAAAATTAGCCGGGCATGGTAGCTCATGCCTGTAGTCCCAGCTACTTGGAAGGCAGAGGCATAAGAATCGCTTAAACCCAGGAGGCAGAGCTTAGAGTGAGCCGAGATCACGCCACTGCACTCCAGCGTGGGTGAAAGAGTGAGACATCTGTCTCAACAAAAACAAAAAAAAAAGGAAGATGAAGACCGAATGCCTATGGCCACCCATGCCAATGAAAAGTGAGCCAACATGAACTCTAGAATACTGGAAAAGCTTATAAATTGAAGAAAGCAAGTGATATGGTTAAGTGAAGAATGTGACACATACATAACAAATAGAGTCACAAAAAAAAAACCTAGTTAACTGCAAAGGAAGTAAAACGTACACAAAAGGAAATGTAATTCTGTAATCATGTTACTTGGCTCAGCAGCTAACAGTATTCATACACTCATAATGTAGACATAACCAGAAATTGCACTAAATCTTCACTTTTCCATAAGTCAGCAGATTCTGAAAATAATGAATCAGGAAATAACAATTTTATGTTATTCGGAAATGTAAAGGTAAATACCAGAAGAAATTGGTTAAGAGTTGAAAACAGATGGGGTGGGGTGAGGTAGCAAGAAAATGCTATCTTAAATTAAGCTTTGTACTATTAATATTATTTGACTTTTTATACTAACAGGTAACAATGGAAATCAATTTTAAAAAGAAAAACGTAAATTTGTTGTAAAAAATTATAGAATACTTAGAGAAACACAAAAATAAATTCCCTATAAATCAGCCAAAGAGAATCACTGCCTATATTTTGATATCATTCAGCCTTTGTTCCATGTCTATCTTTAGTCTACATATTAACTATACTGTTTTGTAACCAAAGTTTTCACTTAATATTTTATGGGCATTTCTTCAGTAGGTACATACAATATTTACATGGGGAACAAGAAAATTATGCTAGAGCAAGTTTTTATGTGATCTTAAGTAATGTTCTCTTAGGATAGAGTTAGATGTGTCAATAAAAAGCACATAAATTTGATAATGGATTTGCTTTGTGCAAAACTGAATAGGTAGGAATTTCTTTTCCCAAAAAAAATAAGATGAATCACGTAACACATTTTCTATACTGCACAACTAGTAAAATGTAAAAATAATGTTTATAATAGAAATTAGCTTGCTCTATCCAACAGGAATTCCTTTGCCTAGAAAAAAAAGAAGTGTTTTCACAATATGTCACTAAATTTTTAAAACTCAGGATACAAAGTAGGATATACAGTATCATCCCAAATTTATTAAAATGTAACCTAAAAAGACGTACTAAAAAATAAACAGTAGCTCTTTCTTAGCAGTATGATTACAGATGATCTTTACTTATTAGTGCTTTTCTAAATTTTCTTCAGTGTTTACTAATACTACTTTCTGAGTCAGAAAATATAGTCCTGAGAACACTACGAATGAAAGATAGTAAGGGTGTGAATAGTTCAGAAGTGACTTACTTCACAGCTAGACTTGTTTTTACAACTCTTATGGATTTCCTCAAAGCACTTCCACACTGCACTGAAACTGGATTTATTTGTTGGTCTTTCTTGGGTCTTTTGTTCTTTCATTCAGTAATTATTGAGCCTCTATTATGTGCCAGGCACTGTTCTAGACACCAAGGATTTAGCAGTGAGCATAACGGATGAAGTCTCTATCTTTCTTTGATAAGGAAGACAAAGACTAAAAATTTTTTAACAAAAACATACTTTTAGTGGAGAAACAAGGACAAGCACACAACACACACACCTGTACTTTCAAATGTGACATAGAAAAGTAAAGGAAAGAGGAGTAGATCAGTAGTAAGGTTGGAAGAGATGACTGTTTTAGTGAGCGGAGGACTCCAAGAAAGTGATATTTGAGCAGCGACCTGAGTGAAGTATGGGAGAAGACAGAATAGTCTAGGTAGAGGGAATATCAAGCAAAAAGGCCTTAAAGCAGTACTGAGCTTGAAATGTGCAAGAATAAGACCAGTGTGGAGAGACCGGAACCAGCAAGGGGAGAGAAGCAGATGGCGTGAAAGAGGTGGGTAGGCCCAGGTCATAAGAGCCTTACAGGTCCACGCAGGGACTCTAAGTTTTTTCTGAAGGTGATCAAAGGTACTGACGTCTTGAAACAGTGATGGCCTGGACCAACGCAGTAGGGTAAGGGGATGACAAATGGTCAGATATGGATATATTTTGATGGCTGATCTAATACAACTTGCTAATGGATTAGATATGAGGAATGAAGAAGAAATCATGGACAATTCTCAGGTTCTTGGTCAAAGCAACTAAATGAGTGAGTGTTGTGCCATTTATAAAACTGGGACTGACAAGTGGAGAAACAAATTGTGAGTGGCAAAACTGAGGAGACCCATTTTGGACATGTTAAGCATGAGATGACCGTTAGACGTCAAGTCAAGATGTCAGGTAGGCAATCGTAATCATAAGTCTGCCATTTGGGGGCACGTTGGGGGCTGAAGTTGTAAATCTAATATTTAAAGGTATGGAATTAAAGGGTATCTCCTAGGTGTAGGGGCAGAAAGAAAAGAGAATAGGGATAAAAACAGCCCCATGGCCTGCCAACACTCACCTCACTGGAGAGACCAGTGAAGCATCCCAGAAGCCAAGTGAAAGTATTTTCAGTAAAAGACAGTGATCCGCTAAGTTAAAGCTGCTGATGAGTAAGTTAAGGATTGAGAAGTAACCACTGGATTTGGTGACTCGGATAAAGGTAGCTTCAGTGGAGTGGTGAAGACAAAAAATTGGCGTACAGTGACCCCTAATGCACGGTTTCACTTTCTGGGGTTTCCGTTATCTGCAGTTAATCATGGTCTAAAAATATTAAATGGAAAATTTCCAGAAATAAATAACTCCTAAGTTTCTAAATTAGATGCCATTCTGGGTAGCATGATGAAATCTTGGACTGCCTCACGTCATCCAGACCAGGACATGTAATCATCTCTTTGTCTAGCATACCCATGTTGCATACAGCACCTGGCCTCAGTCACTTAGCCGCAGTCTCAGTTATCAGATCAACCCACCGTGTCGCAGTACTTGTGCTCAAGCGATCCGTATTTTACATAATGGCCCCAAAGTGCAATAGTGACACTGGTAATTTGAATATGACAAAGAGAAGTCAGAAAGTGCTTCCTTTTAATGAAAAGGTGAAAGTTCTCGACTTAAGAAAAAAAAATTGCATGCTGAAGTTGCCAAGATCTACAAAAGAATGAATCTTCTGTCGGTGATACTGTTAACACTATACTGTTATAACTGTTCTAAGTTATTGTTGTTAATCTCTTACTGTGCCTAATATAAATTAAATTTTATCATAGGTACATATGTATAGAAAAAACAGTGTACTAGAATTTGTTTCAGGCATCTACTGGGGGAACTACTGTACGTTCAGGAGAGAGAAGACAATTAGGTCCAGTAGAGTTGACTGCTGTATCCCTACCATCTCAATAGCTCTTGGTATAGAGTAGGTAGTGAATAAATGTCAAATATGAAAATTCTCAATACTTCAACCCAAATTAAGAAACCCAAAATGGAGAGATAGAGAGGTTCCTGCTCATCCAGTTCTATTCCTAGCCTCCATAATGAGTGAGAATGAATTGTAAAAACATGAGTTTTTTTCTCTTCTTTCTTAACCTGCTGTTTATCTAGGGCTAAAACATAATAAACATTTCGATTGGTAGCTGAACTAAAAGATGAAAGACCTCCTTCTGCTCCTTGATTTTCCATAAGTTGTATGTAACTAAAAGTTAACAGATAAATTATGAACGTGTCACCAACAGGGTTAAAAAAACCCACCAAAACACCAGTCAAATATTTTAAACAAAACATCTTATTCCAAAACTTCTACTGATACCTTAAAGATAGCCACTTATTTTACAAAATAGGTAACTTTCCCTCTTCCCAATTTAGATCTCTTTCCATTTCTCAAAGTGTAAAATAAAGTCTTTTGCAGAGAAAAGGCAATGCCCAGACAACAGGTTTCCTACCTGATATAATGTCTTCTGCTAATTCCTTTTCTCTTTCAATTTTTTCCTCTAGAGTTGAAATGCAGAATTCATAGCCAGCAAGAGCAAATTCCTGTCTGTAAAGCAAAATCAATAATCAGTCATTCACCTTTTCTTCTTCCTTTTTTTTTCTTTGAAGTATAATCAGTCCTTTACCTTTTCTTCTTTTTTCTTTGAAGCGGAGTTTCACTGCAACCTCCACCTCCTCGGTTCAAGCAATTCTCCTGCCTCATCCTACCAAGTAGCTGGAATTACACACACCTGCCATCATGCCCAGCTAATTTTTGTATTTTTAGTAAAGACAGGGTTTCACCAGGTTGGCCAGGCTGGTCTCGAACTCCTGGCCTTAGGTGATCCGCCCCCACCTTGGCCTCCCAAAGTGCTGGGATTATAGGCATGAGCCACTTTGCCTTGTCCATTTACCTTTTCATAAATTCCTCTTTTATCTTCATTCTTCCAGCTCAATGTATACATTATCAATAAAGGAAGTGTAAAATAGGAAGAGGGAACTTAGCTTAAAGTCTAAAGAGTGTCAAATCTGCCATTTCTCAGAAGTATTTTTTTAAGTCATCCATTTAATATAACTTAAGACATAAAGAGCTAGGAATGCTGCCATAATTTTAATAACTGACATAGCCAGTAGCCTTCATCATCTCCCACGAACAAATGGTATCCAGTGAATCAGTTTCTCCATGTGTGAAAGCCTTACCCCTGTTCAAGTAATACTACCCTGAAGTAGGTGGCTCAGGCCATCCTGCAGTTGAGGATTCCAACTGTTGACCTCATACAGCTTCTGAGGAGTTTAGTCATTTTATATTTCTCTCAAGCTGTAGGTCTTTGATCAAAGTTTCTTTTACAGGACCAGGCGCAGTGGCTCATGCCTATAATCCCCACATTTTGGGAGTCTGAGGCCGGTGGATCACCTGAGGTCAGGAGTTTCGAGATCAGCCTGGCTAATATGGCGAAACTCTGTCTCTACTAAAAATACAAAAATTAGCCAGCCATTGTGGGGGGTGCCTGTAATCCCAGCTACTCAGGAGGCTGAGACAGGAGAATCATTTGAGCCCAGGAGGCAGAGGTTACAGTGAGCTGAGATCGTGCCATTGCACTCCAGCGTGGGTGACGAGAGTGAAACTCCATCCCCTCCAAAAAAAAATTTCTTTTACAGAAATGGAACTCCCAGCTATGGCAATAGAAGTCATTTAACCCAACTCTGCAGCCCCGGACCCTCAATCATCTGGAGAGGGTTCAGTCAACTCAAGCAGGCAGACAGACTGCTGCTTTTTAGAGATGCAGAGGAAACGTGACAGAAATCCCTTGTCCATTCAGGAGCTCAGCTTTGGTTCTTGTTCTTCAGTTTTGGCTTTAGTTTCTTATAGAAGTGGCATTAAAAAGCTCATCTTCTCTAGTGCTTTGCCAGTGGAGAATTTATGATCCTACCATTCTGCTCTGTTCTCAGAAGAACAGAAGCATCCCCTTCCTTCCCTATACTCAAACCTTGGCAAGAGGGCCCTCTCTAGCCATAATACAGGGCAAGTGGATGCTGCCCACAAGAGGCTCCCAGTCAGAGCCAAGAGGTCTACAAACAATTCCCCTCCTAACTTATATCAGCCTTTCTAAGCCCCAGATCTGGCCATGTCTTTTCTGGTCTCATATTTCTCTTAATAAAACAAAATGAAAAGTACGAAGTACCAAGTAACTTAGAGGCTAATTATTACTAGCTTTCACCTCTACATGACTATGAGTTTGTCTTACTCAACAATGTTTATTAGCTCTGGGCTTCTTCTTACCTTAGGAGTTCATTCCCAATCAAGAACTAGGCATGTTTGTTATAACTCCAAGGAAGATTGATCAAGAAGCAGTGTTCCCTGGCATGGGCCAAGCTCAAAGCTCCTCAATAGACTTGAAGTCAAAGACTTCAGGAAGCTCTAGCCTCTCTAGTGTCCAATCAGAATGCAAGCAGACTATGCAAGTCCTGATGAGAACAAAGGAGCTGGTGAGTAGGACAACAGGGACCAATGCCAGGGCCTGGCCTCAGTGAGTACCCTTTCTACATCATCAGGCTGCATGTCACTCCAAACCTATCACACCAACTTCTGCATAACTAAAACCCTAAGGGAAGCTAATCTTAGGTCTCTCCCTAAATTCACCCCAAAATATAACTCTCTAGACGAGTTCTCTCCTTACATCCTACATGCCTCATCTTTGGACTGTATTTATACCCGCCAAGTGGCTTCTTCAAAGTATTAATATATCATCCCCAGCGGCTTTCACATTGCTCTTTCCTCTTCTAGGAAAAGCTAAACTAAAGTTCTAACTCTAACTTCCCTTCCCACTTCAAGCAGTAACAGAACACTTGATTAGCTTTGTCACAGGGCAGCCAGAGATGTTGTGTCCCACTAGGCAGGCTAATGGAAACAGCAGGAGCAAACTGGAAAAGACTGACAATTTCAAAGATGAGGGATGGAACACTTTCTGAGTGTGACACCCAATTTCTGGGAGACCCAGATGACCAGCAGGCAATGAATATTATGTAATATCCTAGAGACAGTTTTCTGCCCACAGTCCTGCTCCCTGGCTGTTACACTTACCTATTCTGTGCAGCATAGATACTGGCCAACTTTAGGGAGATTTCAATTATTGCGTTGTCCTCCTGTGAGAGAAAGAGAAATGAAGGGAATTCATAACAAGTAAAATTTTCTCATGCAATATTTCAGATCAACTTCCAGACTGGCAGTGGCCTCAAAGCCATAGTCTTTATTCTTTTAGAGTGATTAGCCAACTGTCAATTCCTTGGTGACCATGCTGTTGCATTTAGTGAAAGAATGGCAATTTCTATACAGATCTTGGGAGGGAAATGCCACCTTTCCTGACCAAAGCATATGGTGGGGGCTGGGCAGAGTTTTCAGGAGACAAGAATGTTTTGAAAACTGCTTCGGTGAGGGACCAATACTAAGCAATGTCCTTACCTGCTTCATGCCCCCTCCAAGGAGGTAACTCATTGTTGCTTTAAAAAGCTGTTCAGCCTAAAAGCATAAGGAAAAGATTTTTCTTTTAATTGGGCCTCACTATATAAATGACTCTGGATTCTCAGTACCAGTTTGATGCCTCATTCCTTGTAAAACACATATGCTCTCACACACACACACACACACACACACACACACACACACACAGGAAAATACCCTTTTGAATGTAAAGCAGATCAAAATATCAGGACCCCCAACATCCTCTATGTACCTTAAACTACTCTGTGATAAGTAGAAAACAACCTTGGAGATTAACTTCTTATCCAAACCCACTGTGGCACAGACTACAAACTGTCTCCTAATAGTCACTCTCCTTCTCCATCTTTTTGATTACAGAATCCCCTCAATTTAGCCTGGGAAACATGGTGAAACCCTGTCTCTACCAAAAAAAAGAAAATTAACCAGGTGTTGTGGCACATGCCTGGAGTCCCGGCAACTCAGAAGGCTGGGGCAGGAGGATCAACTGAGCCTGGGAGGTCGAGGTTGCAGTCAGCTATGATCAAGCCACCGCACTCCAACCTGGGCAAGAGAGCAACACCTTATCTTGAAAAAAAAATTTTTTCAGCTAATTTTAGCAGATTGGCCCCCTGAAATTAGATATGGTCATATGATAAGATTTAGGCCAAGGGATGCAGGCAGAAAGAATGTGAACTTCTAAATCATATAAGGAAACGGCTCACAGTCCATCTTCTCTCCCTTCCTGGAGGCTGGAGGTGAGTCAGCTTACCCAGGCAAATGAGGGCTTATCTTAGAAGGAATCTGGACTTCTGGATCAGAGAGCAATGGTGCCTATTTGTCTATCTGCCTTCAGTCTTTAGCCTATCTCTGGACTAACACAACAAAGAGAAATACATTTTTATCTTGTTTGAGTCACTATTTTGGGGTCTCTTTGTTATAGCAGCTTAGGCTGTACGCTTACTATTACGGTTCCCTTGAGGCTACTCCTTTATAAATTCAAGGTATTACAAAGTAATTTACTTACATTTTCAAGCTGACCCCGTATAAATGCTAAGTTGGCCATCTGAAAGCAAATTACAAATTGTTTTTCAGTTTACAGCACGGTTCCTATTTATTTCAAACTTTAAAATTGCCTTTTGCTTTCACCCTCAAAATTGAAAAAATAGTTTAAAATGAAAAGCATGTCACCAATTAATCTGCTAGAAGCACAGAACAGCAATCGTGTTTGAAGTAAACACTTGCACATACTTTGTTGATAACAAACCAAATCTAGGTCCACTCATCATTAAAGAAACATGTTAATGGCTGGGCACAGTGGCTCACGCCTGTAATCCCAGCACTCTGGGGATCTGAGGCAGGCAGATCACCTGAGGTTGGGAGTTCAAGACCAGCCTGAACAACACAGAGAAACCTCGTCTCTACTAATAATACAAAAATTAGTAGGACGTGGTGGCACATGCCTGTAAACCCAGCTACTTGGGAGGTTGAGGCAGAGAATCACTTTAACTCGGGAGGCAGAGGTTGTGCTGAGCCAAGATCCCACTGTAGTACTCCAGCCTGGGCAACAACAGTAAAAGTCTGTCTCAAAAAAAAAAAAAGAAACATGCTAATGATACTGGTTTCTTTTTGGTCTGGAATTGAGAGGTCTTATGTCACCCCAAGGGTAAAAAAACTGAAGCCAGGCATGGTGGCTCATACCCATAATTCCAGCACTTTGGGAGACCAAGGCAGGTGGATCACCTGATGTTAGGAGTTGGGAGACCAGCCTGGCCAATACGATTAAACCTCGTCTCTACTACAATACAAAAATTAGCCAGGCATAGTGGTGCATGTCTGTAATCCCAGCTACTCAGGAGGCTGAGGCACATGAATTGTTTGAGCTCATGAGGCGGAGGTTGCTGTCAGCCAAGATCGCGCCACTGAAATGCAGCCTGGGTAACAGAGCAAGACTCCATCTCAAAAACAAAAAAAACAAAACAAACCTGAAGCCAAAAGAAAATGGGCTTCGGCTGGGTGCAGTGGCTCAAGCCTGTAATCCCAGCACTTTGGGAGGTCAAGAGATAGAGACCATCTGGCCAACATGGTGAAACCCCATCTCTACTAAAAATACAAAAAAATTTAGCTGGGCATGGTCACATGCGCCTGTAGTCCCAGCTACCCGGAGGCTGAGGCAGAAGAATTGCTTGAACCTGGGAGGCAGAGGTTGCAGTGAGCCGAGATCAGGCCACAGCACTCCAGCCTGGCGCCTGGCTACACAGCGAGACTCCGTCTCAGGAAAAAAAAAAAAAAAAAGAAAAAGAGCTTTAGAACATCATGAAAGTCAGGAATATAAATCAGGAGAACAACCCTCCCCTTCCATCCAACCTTTCTCCTCAGTGGTTCAGACTGGTGATAAGAGTTACCAGATCATAAGTGTAAGTGATGGCCTTCTTGTTATCAGTCTGATAGGCGAGACGAAGAGCATCATGCAAAATTAACTCAGCCTCTTCTGGCTCATCTTTCATGATGCTCAACTGAAAAGAGAAGACAAACAAAATAATAGAAAATGAAACATAAAGTAGATGCATATACTACCAGACAGGAGTGTAAGTAACTATGCATTCCAACTGATAGAAGGAAGCTACTCATTCATCAGACATTTACTGAATTCCTACTATGTTCAAGGCATTGTCTGCAGAGGTGACAGGGAGGTACGCCTCCCTTGCAGCTAGGTACGCCTCCCTTGCAGCTAGGTGTGGCCATCTGATGAAGTTTTGGCCAAGAGACTCGGGCAGAAGAAATGTGATCTTACAACATATTTTATAAGGAAGTTGCTTGTCCTTCATCCTCTAATTTCCTACAGGCTGGAGGTGACCATATGGAGCAAGTAAGCTTAATTAAAACTAATAAGAGCTATAAAGATGACAAAAAGAAATGATAGGGGCCTCCTCTAAATGGGAATTAGGTTAGCCTTCCAAGAACATGACAGCTAAACTGAGGTAGGAAGGATGAGAATGAGTCAGCCAAATAAGGAACTGGGGAGAAGAATAACTCAAACAGAGAGAGTAGAGAATGAATGAAGTCCCTACAAGCTGAAGAGAATGGTTTTAGGGGAGAAATGGAAAGAACTAGATGTGAAGGGAGGATGGTGAGCCAGAGGATTATTGCCAAACTGGTGGGCAAGGTATGCTGGTTTAGATAATGTGGGGTGTTGCAAGCCATGACAAGGAGTTTGTATTTTACCATAAATACAGTGAGTAGCCATTTACAGCTTTCAGGCAAGGAGATAATATGATACAATTTGCTTTTTTTTTTTTTTTTTTTGGTCACTCTGGTTTCTGCAAGAATACACTGCAGGGAGACAGGAGGGCAGGGAAGACTACTGGAGCATAGGTGGTGGCAGTGATGGTTTGCACTAGGGTGATAGCAGGGGAGATAGAGAAATAGGGAGATTTGGGAAATATTTAGAAATATTTTGCATTTGTTAGAAACAGAACCTGTTGCTGGTCTGTAAGAGTATTGGAAGGCAATGGTAAGGTAGCATAAGCTTTAAGAATGACTATGAGCTTTCTAGGCTTAAAAATTGATGGTAGTAAAGAGATGGTGAAAGCATATGTTGAGGAGGCATTAAAGATGGAGTTGAGTTTAGGGCATCGTTAAATCTGAGAGGTAGGTAAGGTCCCAAAATGCAGATGGCATGTCAGTAACACACTACTTGGAATACAAATTTGGACGTGGTTGGCATCGAGTCGGTATTTAGCTCAATGAAAGAGATGAGATAACTTGGAGAACATAAAATAGAAAAGGATGTGGAGAAAAGGAAAAATTCAAAAGAGAACCGAATCGCGTAACCAACACTAAGCTAACATTTTTAGGCCGCTATATAAGTGCGAAATTACGTCATTTCAGCTAAGCTAGTTAATCGAACATTTACAAAACGTTCCCGATATTTCGTTTGCATAAAAAGATGACGCCTGGGGCGCCATCTCCATTTGCACTTGACACTGCAGAGGTATTACTAAAGGCCTTAGAGTCGGAAAAGCCTGGAAGAATTCCAATCCCCTCTCGGATGACCCACCTCATTCTCGGCAATTCTACCCGCGGAGCCTCCATCCACTCTTCGGCGAGGCGGAGAGAGTAATGCGCAGCGACAAGGCCGCCGGACCCCGCTCACAAAGGCTACCGCGCTCGGCCGGGCGCAGGGCCCGGAGCCGCCTCACCTTGGCTCGCTTCAGCAGCTGGATGATCTCGGCCTCGGCCTCGTCCGCCCCGTCCTCGGCGGCGGCCCCGTCGGTTCCCTGCTGCTCCTCCTCCTCTGCCACAGCGGGACTCGAAAACCCGGCGAGCGCTGCGGGAAGGGGCTCTGAGGTCATCGGGCCCGGCCCGCGCCCCTGTCCCCGCCCGGCAGGCCCCGCCCGGCCCGCGCCGCTCACCTGCCAGCAGCGGCAGCAGGCCCGGGCCCCTGCCGTGCGGCGCAACTCGGCATAGCGGCACCTGGACCTCGCGTCCCGGGCCTCCTGCCAGCCCCGGGAGTAGGCGCGCCGAGCAGCCCCGGCACCGCCGCCCCCAGGCCCGCAGGAGGCCTCGGCCCAAGCTCCGGCTCAGGAGCCGGTACATACTCCAGCCGCTTCCTCTGCGCACTGCAGGCCGGGCGCAATCCTAGCCCCCGCCCTGGCGCCCGCGCCGAGCGCCCTCCGGATTGGCCCGGCTGTGACGATTGAGCAAGACACCGTTGCGTCCGCACGCGCGATGACGCACGCCGACGTCACTCCGTCTCGACCTGCCCCGGCGGGCGAGCTGCTGGGATCCTCCGCTTGTCGGCGCTGTCTGCTGGCGGGTTGGGGCGGTCTGCCTTTTGAGGAGGGTGTGTCCTGCGGAGCGATGGCCGTTGTATTGCCGGCGGTCGTGGAGCAGCTCTTGAGCGAAATGGCTGCGGCGGTGCAGGAGAGTGCGCAAAGTACGGGACGGAGGTCGTGTGTGGCTGCGCTGTGGGCACAGACCGGGCATCCGGGCACCGCCGGGCCGGGAGGCAGGAGGCGGGGCGTCCGGGCCTGGCCCTGCCTTTTCTGCGTGTGGTTCTTGTAAACCTTATGTTCTTAAAAAAAGAAAAAAGCGAAATTGGAACAAGTAAAAGTCAAATCGATTCAGCAAATGTTTAGGGTACAGCGCAGTTGCAGGAGCCCCTCCGTCGGAGCGAGCAGGCCAGTGGGGACCGAAGTGCCGAAACCTGGTTGGGTCCCTGAGAGGGGTCCCTGCCCCGGGGTGGAAGGGACAGGAGCCTACCGTGAGTGATAGAAACGTGGAGTTCTGGATTATTTTACTCGAAATTTTGAGTTATTAAACTTTTTTTTTTTTTTTTTGAGACAGAGTTTCGCTCTTGTTAGCCAGGCTGGAGTGCAATGGCGCGATCTCGGCTCACTGCAACCTCCGCCTCCTGGATTCAAGCAATTCTCCTGCCTCAGCCTCCTGAGTAGCTGGGATTACAGACAAGGGCCACCATGCCCAGCTAATTTTTTGTATTTTTATAGAGACGGGGTTTCACCATGTTGACCAGGATGGTCTCGATCTCTTCATCTCGTGATCCACCCGCCTCGGCCTCCCAAAGTGCTGGGATTACAGGCGTGAGCCACTGCGATCGGCCATAAATCTTTTTTTTTTTTTTGGAGGTAGGGTCTTGCTGTGTCACCTAGGCTGGAGTTCAGTGGCGTAATCATAGCTCAGTGCTGCCTCAACCTCCTGGGCTCAAGAGATCCTCTGGTCTCAGCTCCCCGAGTAACTGGTACGACAGGTGTGCACCACCATGCCCAGCTAATTTTTGTATTTTTTGTAGAGACAGGGTTTCACTGTGTTGCCCAGGCTTACTACCATATTTTATGGTGCACATATTCTGCTAGCTTCCTGAAGAAGGGATCATGAGATGTACTTTTTGAGGCTTTCTTTTCTATTTTTGGAGACCAGGTCTCACTCTGTTCCCCAGGCTGGAGGACAGTGGTGCAATCACAGCCCACTGCAGCCTCAGTGTTTCAGGCTCAAGCCATCCATCTTATTTTCCTGAGTAGCTGGGACCACAGATGTGTTCCACCACGCCCAGCTAATTATTTTATTTTCTGTAGAGATGGGCTCTTCCTTTGTTGCGCGGGCTAGTCTGGAACTCCTGGGCTCAAGCAATCCTTCTGCCTTGGCCTCCCAAAGTGCTGGAATTATAGGTGTGAGCCCCTACACTGGCTCCTTTTTGAGGATTTTTATGTCTGAAAACGTTCTTTTTCTAACTTCACACTTAAGTGATTGTCTAGGTATTGAATTATTTGTTGGAAATACTATTTCTTCAGACATCTGAAAACATTCCACCAACTCCTAGCTTCTAGTGTTAGTCCTGATTTTTGTATGTGACCGTTGGTTTCTCTGGAAGTTTGAATTATCTTTTCTTCATAACTGGTGTTCTGAATCTTCTGATAAGGTTTGTTTTTTCACACCACCGTGTGGGCACACAGTGGGCCCTTGCAAGCTGGAGATTCATGTCCTTCAGCTGTGGGAAAATTTGAATTATTTGATTGATGACTTCCCTCCATCTGTGTTCTCTGTTCTTTCCAGTATTTGTGTAATTAAGATACTGGATGTCCACTGTTGTCCTTCTGGTTGACCTGCTGTGGCTTCTGTGTTTCTTTTATATTTTCTCTACTTCCTGGGAACTTTCTTCAACTTTTATCTTCCAGATTTTCTGTTGAATTTCTGCCTTTTTTTTTTTTTAAAAAAAAAAAAGATGGGGTCTTACTATGTTGCCCAGGCTGGCCTCAGACTCCTGGTTTCAAGCAGTCCTCCTGCCTCAGCTTCCCAAATAGCTGAAACTACAGGGTTGTTCCATGTATTTTTAATTTATAGCTTTTTTCCAAAAGATTTCTTTTTTTTATTATTATGTCTTGTGGCTGTTTTTGTGCCTGTTTTATGATTGCACTGACTTCTTTCTGATGATAAAATATTAATAATAGATGTTTAAAATGTTCTGTCTGCAGTTTTTCCTGTAACTTTCTTCTGTTTGTTTTGTTGTTTCCTTTTTCCTTTGTTGTCTGGTAACCTTTGGTTGTCTAGCCATATTTCAGAGTGAAGACTAAAAAGTATATTGGAAGCTCTGGGTGGTAGAGAGGCTTACGGAATATGAATGTCACTATAGTTGTTCTCACTGGGCTGTTTAGTTGGGGAAACCATATCAGTGTCATTCCCACTTCCCTCGGTATATATTGGGATATACCCAGGGAAGACTTACAGTTTCCTGGCTAGAGGGTGAAAGCCTGATTGCTTGTGTTGTGGGAGCCGTGTTAGGGAGGAGGGCAGGAGATCCCCCTGTTATCAGTGTGACACCCTGACTTAACTGTGCTTAGTATTTTTCCCTAGTCCGGACAACCTATGCTTGAACCACTCCCGAAAATAAACCTAGTCTTTTGCCAGAATGAGGGAGAGGCAGTCACCTAAAGCTATGGAGGGGAACCGGGGTCCCACTGCTTCTTAAACGTACTTGCAAAGAGTCATATTGGCAGGTGCGGTGGCTCACGCCTGTAATCCCAGCACTTTAGGAGGCCAAAGCAAGTGGATCATGAGGTCTGGAGATCGAGACCATCCTGGCTAACACAGTGAAACCCCATGTCTACTAAACATACAATAAAATTTGCCCAGCATGGTGGCGCACACCTGTAATCCCAGATTCTCTGGAGGCTGAGCAGGAGAATCATTTGAACTCAGGAGGCAGAGGTTGCAGTGAGCTGAGATCACATCACTGCACTCCAAGAGTGAGATTCCGCCTTGGGGGAAGAAAAAGAGTCTTATTTTCGTATCCTGGCTTCATCCCCAATGAAGCTGTTTGGTGCCACCACCAATTTCTTAGGGTTTGGGGAAGGGGAGAGGTGGATTTTGGACTGTAACTCAGGCTCGTGCTTGACTTTCCCCATTGCTAGCCTAGGATTCAGTATTTTTAGGTCTTATAAATCATTTTCTACTCTATCAGCTTCCAATGTACCATAGCTGTTGTCTCTCCCTGTATTTCTCATCCTTTGGAACTCATGCTTTTAAAAAAGAAATCCAGCCAGGAATGGTGGCTCACACCTGTAATCCCAGCACTTTGGGAGGCTGAGGTGAGCAGATCACATGAGGTCAGGAGTTCAAGACCAGCTCAGCCAGCATGATAAAACCTCATCTCTACCAAAAATACGAAAAAAATTAGCCAGGTGTGGTAGTGCAGGCCTGTAGTCCCAACTACCTGGGAGGCTGAGGCAGGAGAATGACTTGAACCCACGAGGCAGAAGTTGCAATGAGCCGAGATTGCACCGTTGCACTCCAGCCTGGGCAACAGAGCAAGACTCTGTCTCAAAAAAAAAAGAAGCCTTTTTATTATGGTTTTAGTGGGGTTTGGGGAAGGAGTAAAACCAGATGCATAGGTTCAGTTGTCCATAATACATAGAAATGTTTGTGGCTTTAGTGTTTCTTAAGATTTTTACATCAGTGGTCACTGGCTTAACATAATTAACTTTTTTTTTCCATTCTCATTTTACAGTTCCTGATGAATATCTGTTATCGTAAGTACATATACTGTTGTGTTTGATTTTTTTTTAACCATTAATGTTAAAATCCTTTCAACATCAACTCTTGATTTTTAAAAATATTCTTACTACCAGGCATAGTAACTCACACATGTAATCCCAGCACTTTGGGAGCCAAAGGCAGGAGGATCACTGGAGCCCAGGAATTCTACACCAGCCTGAGCAAAATAGGGAGGCCCCCCCATCTCTACAAAAGAAATTTGAAAACAGAATAAAAGGCTGGGCGCTGTGGCTTACACCTGTAATCCCAGCACTTTGAGAAGCAGAGGCAGGTGGATCACTTGAGGTTAGGAGTTCAAGACCAGCCTGACCAACATGGTGAAACCCTGTCTCTACTAAAAATACAAAATTAGCGGGGCATGGTGACACATACCTGTAATCTCAGCTACTTGTGAAGCTGAGGCAGGAGAATTGCTTAAACCGGGGAGGTGGAGGTTGCATATCTTGCTGAGATTGTGCCATTGCACTCCAGCCTTGGTAACAAGAGTGAAACTCCATCTCAAAAAAAAATTTTTTTTTAAGTAGAAAATAGAATAAAAAATATTTTGACCAGGCGTGGTGGCTCACACCTGTAAACCCAGCACTTTAGGAGGCCAAGGTGGGCAGATCACAAGGTCAGGAGATCGAGACCATCCAGGCTGATATGGTGAAACCTCGACTCTACTAAAAATACAAAAAATTAGCTGGGCGTGGTGGCACCTGCCTGAAGTCCCAGCTACTCGGGAGGCTGAGGCAGGAGAATTTTTGAACCCGGGAGGTGGAGGTTACGGTAAGCCTAGATCACACCATTGCACTCCAGCCTGGGAAACAAGAGCGAAAAGCCGTCTCAAAAAAAAAAAAAAAAAATCTTACTAAACTAGGAACAACATTTTCTTGACATGATTCTTAAAAATTTGTCTGAATTGAATAACCAACACCATGTCAGACAGTACAAAGCATTACAATATTGTCCTATTTGCCACTCTTATTTAACATTGTTTTAAAAATTGTAATTATTAAGCTAACACATGAAAAAGAAATTAGAAGCGTACCTATCTGCAAGGAAAGACAATTATCATTATTTGCAGATAACACAACTACTTAAACAAGGCCAGGTGTGGTGGCTTACACCTGTAATCCCAGCACTTGGGGAGGCGAAGGCGGGTGGATCACAAGGTCAGGAGTTCAAGACCAGCCTGGCCAAGATGGTGAAACCCCGTCTCTACTAAAAATACAAGAGTTAGCCAGGCATAGTGGCAGGCACTTGTAATCCCAACTACCTGGGAGGCTGAGGCAGGGAATTGCTTGAACCCAGGAGTCGGAGGTTGCAGTGAGCCAAGATCGTCCCACTGCACTCCAGCCTGGGTGACAGAGCGAGACTCTGTCTCAAAAAAAAAAAACAAAAATAAAATAGAGTGGTCAGTTATTTTAAAAATGCAGAGATAAAAAAGTGAAAGCTACCTAGAAATAAATGACACTTAATTGCTGTTGTAAACTTATATTTAAAAGTTCTGGCCAGGCTCAGTGGCTCACACCTGCTACCCTAGCACTTTGGGAGGCCAACATGGGTAGATACCTGAGGTCAGGAGTTTGAGACCAGCCTGACCAACATGGTGAAACCCCATCTCTACTAAAAATACAAAAATTAGCCAGTCGTGGTGGTGGGCACCTGTAATCCCAGCTACTCAGGGGGCTGAGGCAGTAATCACTTGAACCTGGGAGGCGGAGGTTGCAGTAAGCCAAGATCACGCCACTGCACACCAGCCTGGGTGACAGAGCAAGACTGTCTCCAAAAAAAAAAAAAAAAGTCCTGGGAGGATTGCTTGAGCCAAGAAGTTCGAGGCTGCAGTGAGCTACGATTGTGCCACTACAATCCAGCCTGGATGATGTGAGACCTTGTCTCTAAAAGAATAAAAGTTCTAACGAATGTATACCAAGCTCTACCAGTGTTTTTTCTTTGGACAAGGAAGGAGATTGAATTGTGGGAAGGGCCTTAACCTTTTCTGTATTTCTTAAATTCAGAAATAAAATACTGTATTTCCGAAATAAAGAGGGACAGAGTTTCCCTCTGTTTGCCCAAGCTGGAGTGCAATGGCACGATCTCAGCTCACCGCAACCTTTGCCTCCCGGGTTCAAGCAATTCTCCTGCCTCACCCTCCCGAGTAGCTGGGATTACAGGCGTGTGCCACCACGCCCAGCTATTTTTGTATTTTTAATAGAGACAGGGTTTCTCCTCGTTGGTCAGGCTGGTCTTGAACTCCCAACCTCAAGTGATCTGCCTACCTCAGCTTCCCAAAGTCCTGGGATTACAGACGTGAGCCATTGCACCTGGCTGTGTATTTCTTAAATTTTTAATAAGAATTGTATATTACTGGTAAAAATTTACTACTTTAAAAAACAAAAGGGCAAAGAATAAAAGATGCAAATAGCCAAATACTTTGGGAGGAAAAAGATAAATCTTACTAGTGACCACAAAAATGCAAATTAAAATAACATAACTTTTCATCTAGAAAATTAGTGACCATAGAAAACAAGTTGACACAAATATGGGGAAAGGGATCGTCTATAACCTGCTGGCAGGAATGTCAATTCAGGATAACAGGCATTAGGAACTTTAAAACAGACATATTCTTTGACCCAGTAATTCCATGTAGAAGAACATATACCCAGGAAGTAATTATGGACGTTCATAAAGATTTTACAGTGAGGATAGTCATCCAATATTGTTTATGGTAGCAGTACAACCTAGAAAAAATCTAATAATTTATGGAGTTTGAGGAGAATAAAAATGATTCATCTTTACAGTAGAGTTCTTTGTAACCATTAAAAGTGAAAAAAAAGTGATATGGAAAATTCTTTTTTCTGGAAAAAATTTTAATGCATTCGAGAGATATTCAGAATAGGTCATAAAGTGGACAGAGCAGGTTTAAAAATTTCTTTGGTTTTTTTTTTTTCATCTCGCTCTGTCGCCCAGGCTGGAATACAGTGGCGTGATCTCGGCTCACTGCAACCTCTGCCTCCCAGGATCCACCAATTCTCCTGTCTCAACCTCCCAAGTAGCTGGGACTGCAGGCGCTTGCCACCACACCTGGCTAATTTTTGTATTTTTAGTAGAGATGGGGTTTTACCACATTGGCCAGGCTGGTCTCGATCTCCTGACCTCGTGATCGACTAGCCTTGGCCTCCCAAAGTGCTGGGATTACAGGTGTGAGCCAGTCTACCTGTAATCCCTGCTACTCTGGAGGCTGAGGCAGGAGAACAGCTTGAACCCAGGAGGCGAAAGTTGAAGTGAGCCAGGATCATGCCATTCCACTCCAGCATGGGCAACAGAGTAAGATTCCATGTCAAAAAAAAATTAAACTTTTAATTTTGACGTTTGACATTGTACTTGTAGTCTACAAAATCAAAAAAATTAGCTAGGTGTGGTGGCATGTACCTCTAGTCCCAGCTGCTAGGGAGGCTTAGGTGGGAGCATCACTTGAGCCTGGAAGTTTAGGCTGCAGTGACCCATGATTGCACCACTGCAAGCCACCCTGCATGGATGACAGAGAGAAACCTTGCCTCAAAAAAAAGGCCAGGCTCAGTGGCTCACACCTGAAATCCCAACACCTTGGGGGAGGGGGATTACCTGATATCAGGAGTTCAAGACCAGCCTGGCCAACATGGTGAAACCCCATCTCCACTAAAAAAATACAAAAATTACCCAGGCATGCTGTTGTGCACCTGTAATCCCAGCTACTCAGGAGGCTGAGGCAGGAGAATCGCCTGAATCTAGGAGGTGAAGGTTGCAGTGAGCTGAGATTGTGCCATTCCACTCCAGCCTGGGCAAGAGTGAGATTCCATCTCAAAAAAAAAAAAAAAAATTAAACTTTTAATTTCGACATAATTGTAGATTTCCTTTTAAAAAGTTAACATGCTTGAGACTTGCTAAAATATAATTTTGTCTCCTGCCTTTCTCACCTAATATTGTAAGAATTTTCTGACATATCAAAATTTTTTCCTTTATGTCATTTAACAGTTGGATAACCTTATTACTAATCCAAAAAGTACACATTTAATATTTTCCGACTGGCAGACATAAAAAAGCTTGATAATACTGGTGTTAGTGGGGACATGGTGAAAATAGAAATGTTATTCATTGCTGGTGGGGGTGCCATTTTCACTTTTTTGTGTGTTTTAATTTCTTTTTCTTTAGAGATGAGGTGTCACTGCATTGCTCAGTATGGTCTTGAACTCCTGAGCTCAAGCACTCCTCCTGTTTCAGCCTTCCAAAATGCTGGGATTACATACATAAGCCACCATGCCTGGCCCGAAATACCTATTAAAGTTGAAAAATGAACATATCCTTTAGTTATGTAAACTAAAGGAGGATTTTCAAGAGATGTATGCCAAGAGACACATATGGAGATAATCGAGTATTATTTATAATAGTATAAAATGGAAACAGAATGTCCATACGTAGGGTACTCAGATAAAATTCAGTGTGTACATGTAATGGAATATTATTCAGAAGTAAAGTAAAAATATATGTATGTCAACACGCCTCATTTTCAAAAATGCATTGAGTAGAAAAATGCAAGTTGCCAAAATAAGTCTACAGTATTTTGTATTTTTTTTACAAATACATTTTTTTAATTTTTATTTATTTTTTTAATCATTTGGATTTTATTTAGAATTATATCAGATTTATGGACAAATTAGGGAAGAAATTAATCCGTGTGTGTGTGTATGTGTGTGTGTGTTTTAAGACGGGGTTTCACCATGTTGGTCAGGCTGGTCTTGAGCTCCCGACCTCAGGTGATCCGCGCGCCTTTTCCTCCAAAGTGCTTGGATTATAGGCGTGAGCCACCACGCCCAGCCATTTTCATTTATTTTTTATGAGCCATTTCAAGAACAGCAAAAAGAAACCTACAATATACCTTTTATGTTTTAAAACAATACCATATGTATATGTATATGTGTACATATATGCACATTTGTTTGTTATGTATGTGTGCATATGTATGTTCTATGTATAATATTTAATAAAACGAACACATTAACAGGAAGGAAACCAACAAATGCATGTGGTTGCCTCATAGGCAAGGGGAAGGTAGGAAGAACTACAGGAGGCACTAAAAGAAGCATAAAGAGGGCTTCTTTATCAGTAACAGTGATAAAGGGAGTACCTTCCTTTATTAAAATATACAAGAAGATCTGAAATAAGTACATAAGATGATAATAATTCTGGGGAATGAGTGAGTCCGTTGCCATATTATTTTCCTTTTTTCCAAATAAACTGAATTTTTAAAAAATGCTAAGGCTAGTGATTCTTTGGGTCAAGTAACTGAGGTGATTTGAGTATCAGGCCTTCTAATCTGAAGCCTTTTTATTTCACAGGCTGAAGTTTCTCTTTGGCTCATCAGCCACCCAGGCCTTGGACCTAGTTGATCGACAATCCATCACCTTAATCTCATCACCCAGTGGAAGGCGTGTTTACCAGGTAGAAGTCTAGAGATGGGGGTGATCCCTATAAAAAACCCTGAGGACAAAATATTTTCTTCATCTTTGTGGAAGCTGGTGACCAGCTTTAAATCATTTCCTGGAATGGGCCAGGTGTGGTGGCTCATGCCTGTAATCCCAGCACTTTGGGAGGCTGAGGCAGGCAGGTCAAGAGATCAAGACCATCCTGGCCAACATGGTGAAACCCCGTCTCTACTAAAAATACACAAATTAGCCGGGCTGGTGGCAGGAACCTATAGTTCCAGCTATTCGGGAGGTTGAGGCAGGAGAATCACTTGAACTCAGGAGGCGGAGGTTGTAGTGAGCGGAGATCAGGCCACTAATTGAGCCACTGCACTCCAGCCTCATCACAGAGGGAGACTCTGTCTCAAAAAAAATTTCCTGGACTATTAAAAAGTTTTTGACCTAACTTGGTAAAATTAACAAATTGGTAATTTAAAAAAAAATTTTATTTACTTTTAATTGATAGAAATTGTCTTTATTTATGGCATATAACATGATGTTTTGATATATGGATACCTTGTAGAATAACTGAATCAAATTAACATATCTAATACCTTACATACTTATTTTTTGTGGTAAGAACACTTAAAATCCACTATCTTAGCAATTTTCAAGTATACAATACTTCAGTCTTTTTATTTCTTTGTTTTTATAGAGATAAGGTCTCACCAGGCTGGTCTCAAACTCCTAGACTCAAGCGATCCTCCCACGTTGGCCTCTCAAAGTACAGGCATGAGCACCACCCCTCGCCAATACATTGTTATTAAATATAGTCACCATTTTGTACCATGGTTGTCCTGAACTTCTCCTGTCTAACTGAAATTTGTACCCTTTGACCAATATCTCTCTCTCTTCCTTGCCAACCCCAAGGCCTCTGGTAACCACTATTCTTTCTTATTCTATGAGTTAACTTTTTTTTGGAGACAGAGTCTCGCTCTGTCACCAGGTGTCAGGCTGGAGTGCAGTGGTGTGATCTTGGCTCACTGCACCCTCCGACTCCCGGGTTCAAGCAATTCTCCTGTCTCAGGTTCCCGTGTTTGTTTGTTTTAAACAAAGACAGGGTTTCACTATGTTGCCAAGGCTGGTCTTGAATTCCTGGCCTCAAGTCCTCCCTCCTCAGCCTCCCAAAGTGCTGGGATTACTGGCATGAGCCATTGCACCCAGCCTATGAATTCAGCTTTTTGTAGATTCCATGTATAAGTGAGATCATGTGGTATTTGTCATTCTATACCTGGCTTATTTCACTTAACATAGCTTCACTTAACAGAATCCTCAGACATTTTTGTGATTAAGATGGCCGGACGGCTCATGCCTGTAATCCCAGCACTTCAGGAGGCTGAGGCAGGAGGATCACCTGAGGTCAGGAGTTTGAGACCAGCCTGGCTAACATGATGAAACCCCGTTTCTACTAAAAATACAAAAAATTAGCCAGGCATAGTGGCACACGCCTATAATCCCAGTTACTCAGAAGGCTAAGGCAGGAGAATTGCTTGAACCTGGGAGGCAGAGGTTACAGTGAGCTGAGATCGCACCATTGCACTGCACCTTGGGAACAAGAGCGAAACTCTGTCTCAAGAAATTTAAAAAAAAATTAAAAATAAAATAAAATCCTACTGACTTTACCTAAAAGCAGTGTGTAGACGTCAGCTCACGGGCCCAGCATGGTGGCTCATACCTGTAATCTCAGCCCTCTGTTGGCCTGGGCAACATAGTAAGACCCATCTCTGCAAAAACCCAGCAAGGTATTTCTTTTGCAGGAAATGGAAATGCAGAAAAGTAAAGTAACAGTCACATCTGGTTACTCCACACTGCCTGTCTTATGAGACATGAATAAAGACCATATAAAGAGGGAGCCAGACTCAAACACCTGACCCTTCTCCCTGCACAACCCCACCCCATTTTAGCTATATGAGACACAGGGTAAGTGCAGCTGGGATTGAGGGAAGGAAATCATGAATGAAATGAAAATATTGGCAGCGGTGTCCAAAATTTTGTCAGCTCTTGTATGTAATCCAGGCCTTACTGAGACCAGAAAAGGGTAAATTTTTCAGAGTTTGAATTCTGGCTTATTTACAGTGAATTTCTCAGAGCTGAGACCGTATCAGTTAACTCTCATTAAAAGGCCGTGTCAATTCTTAGGGAGTAAATGGCTTGAGCAAAGCCTGCCTGGGCATATAGATGCCTTTGCTTAGTGAATTAACTTGCCCTTCCTCATGCTGATCTGGTAAAATCTTCATGCATTTCTGCATTAAGGAAAATGTGGTAATTAGTGCTGGTTGCTGTGGTTAAAATTTTGGATGGTATTTTCTTACTCAAAAGAGACCGCCTATTAGATGAATTTTCTCATGGTGAACTTAGAGATTAATAATCAGTCACTGAACTTGCAGTTTGTACCTGAGGAGGTGTGTCTGTCCTCTTTTCCTGGTGTTTTTATTTTTGGTTTTCCCTGTGCTTTTAGTTCTGGATTTTCGATCTTGGTTCCATTATGGGCACACTTGACCTGGGCAAGCAGACTTTTGTTTGAAAGATTTTAATTACTGTTGACTTTTTGTTCCTCCCAGTGGTCAACAGTGACTTGTTTAAGTCACTTGTTTAGTTTTTGTTGTTCCCATCTGGTATATATTACATCGGTTTATTAATTATAAAATGCTGACTTCTAAGAATTGTGGCCGTCATCTTGGACTTTGAATTAAATGAGGCTGTAGAAATCTTATACACCTTCAGATTAACCTTAATGGTTGCATTGTATGGTCATATAGTAAGAATTTGGCTGAATTCAGGAGTCGTATGAGATTATAAAAGTTGAGTCACAGGCCGGGCGCGGTGGCTCACGCCTATAATCCCAGCACTTTGGGAGGCCGAGGCGGGTGGATCACGAGGTCAAGAGATCGAGACCATCCTGGTCAACATGGTGAAACCCC